CATATCCCCTTTTGATACTTTATACGAAGAGACCCAATTATTCACATCTCAAAAGCTTTGGATGCTTATGTTATCCCACCACTCTTAAAACTTGCAAAGATAAATTTTGAGCCCAGAGCTAAACCCATATTTTGTGGGTTACCCCTTTGGCACAAAAGGTTAGAAGGTACTGAACTTGGACACAAAAAGAATACATATTTCTAGGAATGTACAATTCCATGAGCATGTCTTTCCTTTTGTAGTTTCTTCTGATCATACTTCTATTCCTTGTATTTTTCTACCTTTTCATTCTGATACATCTTGTGAAAATCATAGAATTGATGTTTTAAATCATAGTCAGTCACCAATTGGAATTCACCAAGTTCTATCACAAATACTTTCTCATCTGTTGATCAAAGTAACTTTTCACCTGTTAGTTTGGATTAATATGAAACTTCACCTAGCCCCTTAAATACAGTAGACTATCATACCACTAATACATCCTCACCCCCAATCCCTATAAGACCATCTAGGATAGTTAAAACACCAAGTTACCTAAATGAATATGTCTATTTTATTCCAAACCTAAAGAGCAATGCATCACACATTGTTTTACTCAACACTCCCTCTCCAAATCACCAACATATCTATTTTACTGCATTAAGTAAAGATAGCCAGCATATGATGAGAAATATTTCTCATGAATCTAATCCATGTTCTTATGAGGAAGTAGCCTTAAACCATGCATGGCAAGCAACTATAACACAGGAGTTTGAGGCCTTATATGCTAACCACACTTAGAATTTAGTAAAATTGCTTGCCGGTAAGAAAGATATATAGTGTAAATGGGTCTATAAAATCAAGTATAAAGCAGATGTCACTGTTGAGAGGTTTAAGGCAAGACTTATGGTGAAAGAATAAACACGACAACCTAGAGTAGACCATACTGAAACCTTCTCCCCAGTTGTCAAGATGATAACTATAGGACTCTAATAAGTATAGCAGTTAAAAAAGACTGGGACTTATTCTAATTAGATGTGAACCATGCATTCTTACATGGGGATCTACATGAAGAGGTGTATATGGAAGTTCCACAAGGAATGCAGGTTGAAGTTCCTGGTCTAGTTTGCAAGTTAAACAAGTCTTTATATGAACTCAAACAAGCAACTAGACAGTGATAAGTGGGGATTTTGACTACTTATTAGTACCTTTTTATTTTTATTTTCTTCCAAAAGTATTGATTTATGTTTCTAAAACTAATGAAATTGTACAAAATTATAGGAATGTTGGAAGTTTGGTCTCCCATAATGAAATTCGACTCAAAAAGAAGTGTTCTGAATCACAAGGCAATAAAAGGAGAAGCAAAGAAGTGTGGTCCGCGGAAGGATTTCTGCGGCTGCAGAAGAAAGTGCAGACCATAGAATTCCATCTGCGGCTGCAGACCAAGTAAAAGCACCCAGTAGAACTTTGGCCAATGTACGGACCACACACGAATTGTGCAGCAACAGAACATGATTTTCACTAACAAATGATTCAAAGTTCAGATAGTGTGCAAAAGACTAAGTCCTAATGCCTTGATGAAGTGCGGAACGCACAAGAATTGTGTGGCCACAAAAGATGCTTCGCAGCTGCAATCCAGAAATGTGCGGATGCAGAATCCTAGTTCTTGCCAATTGAAGAAATCCGCGGACTTCACATGGAGTTGTGCGGCCGCAGAACCTCCCGAGGGGTATTTTTGTCAGCGATTGTGGGCCACTATAAATAGATGAGTTTTACATTTTTAGGTCAAGTTTCGAAGTTTGAGCTACTGTAGCTGTTATATTTTGCCATTTTAGGAAGTTTGTGATTATTTTAGTGTTTAAACATTATATTTTATCATTTTAATCTTTGATTATGAGTTTAATTAGCATTTCTTCTTTATTTTTCTCAATTGCTACTATGAGTAGTTAGATTCTTATTAGGGTTGTGACCCAACCCTAGTGTGTAAACCTTATGGATATTTAATTTAATGTATGTTTATGATTGGGTGTTGATTATTTAGCTTAGTTCATGCTTTAATTTTAGAACTAATGGTTGCAAACATTGATTCATGTCTTTTTAACTTAGTCTCTACTTGAGAAACAGTGACCTAGTTTAGGGTAACTTGGCTAACAAGAAATTGGGCTAATTGAGAGTTTGATTAGCCTAATTAAAGGGTTCAAGCTAGAGATAGTAAGAACCCGACTTGAGATCATATCAACTATTTTGTTTGATACCTATTTGAACTTGAGAAAGCCAAATTGGGCAAAATTACTCTTTGACTGAGAGGTATTGAGTGGGTAATATAGAGTTGAGATCTATAATACAATTCAATCAACAAAACAAGTATTAACGTATTTAACCCATTATACGAATACCTAGGTTATGGTCGCATCCCTAGGCTTTTTAACTATTTGGAAAAATACTAAAAATAATCGTTCATTTCTAATTTCTTTTTGTAACTTACAATTGTTGAGTAAAGTAGAAGGAGAAATCAAAACCAATTGTGGAAGTGCAAATTTAGCTAATCCATTCACTTTCTTCAAGTGTATACTCCTAACAACCCGCACAACTCCCTGTGGAAATCAATCCCGACTCTTGTTGGGTACTATTCTTTCAATGATTGTTTCCACTCATTGTTGAGTGCGGATTGGATTTAGATCAGACGGTGGTATGATAAGCTGACCGAGGCCCTGTGAACAAGGGGCTTTAGGAATTCAGAGAGTGATTACTCACTGTTCTATAAGAAAGATGGCTTTTCAATTGTGTTTGTTGTTATCTATGTTGATGATGTAATGTTTACAGGCACAAATATTGAGGAAATTAAGGAACTGAAGGCCTTCCTCCATGACCAATTTAAAATCAAAGATCTAGGGAGATTAAACTATTTCTTGGGACGGGAAGTGTTCTACAAAGATGATGCAGTCCTCATTTCATAGAGAAAGTTCACTGCAGATTTGTTGAAAGAGTATGACAATTAGTATACTTCTGTCTCTTCTCCCCTTGACTGTAGTATCAAGTTGAAGGCAGAAGAGGGACTCTTGTTGCCAGATCTTACTTACTACAGAAAGTTGGTTGGGAAGCTCAACTTTCTCACCAACACTAGGATGGACATTGCCTATAGTGTTCAACACTTAAGTCAGTTCATGCAAACATCTAGAGAGCCTCATTTCAAGGCTGCTCTACATGTCTTGAGATATCTTAAAAATGATCAAACATTGGGCATTTTCTTTTCTAGCAACTCAGATTGTACTGTGAAGGCTTTCTATGATTCAGATTGGGCTGTATGCCCTGATTCTAGAAGAACAGTGAGTGGATGTATTGTCTTGCTAGGTGATAGCTCTATTAGCTGGAAGTCAAAGAAGCAGGAAATAGTCTCCATCTCCTATGCAGAGGCTGAGTATAGATCTATAAGAAAGGTAGTTGGTGAGTTAGTTTGGCTCAAAAGATTGCTGGAATAGCTAACAGTTCTTTGCTCACATCCTATCTCGGCCTTTTGTGATAGCCAACTTGCAGTGCACATGGCAAGAAATCCAGTATTTCATGAACGTGCAAAGCATATAGAGGTGGATTGTCACTTTGTGCGAGATAAATTGCAAGATGGACTGATCACCCTGCACCACATCTCCACAAATGCTTAGCTAGCAGGCATACTCATCAAGGCCTTAATAGGTATCAAGCATGCCGGCATTCTTGGCAAGTTGGCAGTAAGTTCCTCACCTCTACCTTAGGGGGTATTGAGAGTGTTACACGATAGCTCAATTGTAGTTGTATTTATCTCAGAGGCGGTTCAGCCGTAAAGCCACTAAAGCAATGTCTTTAGGCCCCCAAAAAATTAAAGCCCCAAAATTAATCATACATATATAATATAAACAATTATATATTTATTTGTAGTGAAAAATAAATTTTTGCAATCATGTGTTGTCAATTTTTATCAACCATTACTTCCATATTTTCCAAGTTCATACTATGTAAAAATTTAAAATATGTAATGTAACTACGATTGAAAATAGTAGGCAATTATATTTGTAGCTACTTTCTATATTATTTTTTGTCTAATGTATTTGAGCTTGAATCATTCTTGTTTATAACTACGGTGTTGTAAGATTTTTTTCAATTCTTTGAATGTCTTTTTTAATATTTTCAAGCTCAAGATAACTAGAATATTAAACGACTAGATTAGAAATAAATATGTTCTCTTATAGCCCGTTTCCTCCTAAAAGTTTGGTCAGATATCTCAATTTCTTAAAAATATACTTTGGAGGGGGAAGGGAGGGGGGAGGAAAGCATTTTTACCCTTGGAGAAGTTTGGCCAATCAAGCTATTAACCTTGAATATATTTTAAAGCATAATGATCTATAAAATTAATGGTTTTGCCAATTTTTGAAATTAAAAGTGAGATGAAAATTGTACAAAGTAAAAGATGATACTTTAATTTTTTTTAAATGTTTCTATTGCTTATAAAATAATTTTAATATTCTTTAAATGTTCCGTCAGTTGAAAAAAGTTTATAAACTAAAATCAATAAGATTTCTTAAGATTAACAATGTTTTATGAGAATTACACGTACTAACCATATTGTTAAGTGAAAAAAAAATTAATTATCTAAATATCATTAACTTTCTTATCTTTTAGAAAGCTATAAAAATAAACATCAAATAAAATATATAAAAAATTTATTTAAAAAAAATCAGGGCCTCTTATAAGTTTTGGCTTTAGGCCACATATTCGATTGAGCCGCCACTGATTTATCTATATAGTTAATGGCAATTAAGTAGTTAGTTAAGTTGGTTAGAAAGTTGTGAGGGTTTTTTGTCATTAGATAGTGGAGTATTTTTATATGTGTATAAACATTAAACATAGTACATAAATATAATTGGATTCTTTTCCATTTACTCATTTCTCCAGAACCCTCTGTGAATCTCTCTCGCGTGTGTTTCTCGCGAGCTCGAGTTGCGGCAGCTTCTACTCATGATTAACTTCTTAGTTTTGAGAAATAAAATTCTATTACCTTATCAAAAAAACACCTTTCTTAAGCTAACAAACAGATAATTGATCATTTAGCATATAATTTTATGATAAACATCGGCCAAATCTGAATTTTCGTTTGTTGAAACATCGACACCAAGAAGACACAAGTCCTTCCGCAACAAATCCACATTCTTGAATCGAAGGCCTTTGAGTCCTATTTCAACTGCAGCTTCAACATTCCTCATCCTGAATGATCATTACATAACTTATATGAGAATTTTAGACTAAACAAACTTGAATATCATAGCTTCTGTATCAGGGGCGAATGTAGCCTTTCGACTAATTGAACCCATAACTTTCAACATAAAATATGAATTTCTATGTAAAGATTTTAATGGAAATGGTATCAGGTAGCCACTTTTAGGTATGTTGTTTAAAATATATTCACAGTTTATAATGTATTTAAGGATTAACCAATTCCGCTCAAACTTCAGGACACGGCCCCCTAGAGTTTAAACCTCAAAGTTCAAACTTCAGGATAGCGTATCCTAAAGTTCGAAAATTATGTCCTGAATTTTACATTAATAGTTCAGAATTTAAATCTTGGATCTGCCTTTCCAAGTAATAATTTGGTCCTTTTGCAGCCAAGGTTCAAGTAATGACTAATGAGTAGATAGATAGTAGTGTAAAATAATTAACAATATGCCTCTTATCCTAAAAGTAAATGACATACCTGTCATCAATAAAAACACAGTTGGAAGCTTCTACATTAAGATGCTTTACAACTTCCAAATAAAACTCAGGATCAGGCTTCCGTTTTCCTGTTAAGATAACAAACTGAAAAAATAAGGTTTATACTCCAATTGGAGGAAAATGAGTTCATGAGGAAAATGTTGTCCAAAACATTTAGGCCAACCAAACATGGGAAAATTGAAAAATATTTTCGAACAAACATACCCTAGGTGTCAGAGATTTTCAACAAATATTTTCTAAAAAATATTTTCCTTCGTATACCAAACACACGCTTAAGTATAAAAGTGAAAATCTTTAAGCCATTTCTTTTGAGAAAACTACCAAATACACAAGAACGAAATGTCCAAGATAGGTAATTTGAGAGTTTTAGCTTGTCCTCAATTATTTGGTACCTGAAAAATAAATAACAAAGTTTCAAAGACTTGATATATTTTGCAAAGTAATGAAGGTTTAATTTAGATTGAACATACCATATGGGAAAATTTGTGAAAGCATGAATTTCATAACCATTTTCTTTTAAAGAATTCAATAATCCTTCAACACCTTCAATGTAGGAACATGCACTTCTCAGACAGTTTTTGAGGCCTAGAAGAAAAATTAAATAATGGTTTTCAGTTTACAATGAACAAGCAAAATATGCTAATAGATTGAAAAAGTAACAATTATGTAAACATTGGTCCAATAAATATTTAAAATATCTAAAAAGACATGGATAGCTCGTTCGAGACACTACAAGATTCATGTTTATAATTTCAGGTCTATTTATGGGTGATAAGGTGCAGGAATATTCTAAGTTACCTTCCAAATCAAAAGATCTTCCATCCTTAAAGAATTTCATAGCTAGCTCATCCTGAAAAGAGTAGTAGAACAAACTTTTATAAATTAAAAAGAGAGAAAAACGAAAATATTTGGAAAAAATGTCTAGGTGCCTTTTAGTAAATAGTGTGTAAAAGGTTAGATTATATTTGATCCAGCCTATCAAAAACGAAAAAGGCATGCATAATGATCATCTTCCACGACATAAGAGTAAAGGATGGTCCGATATTCGAGGAAATGCTGAATCACAAGGGTCTATTGTATGCATTTTTTCGCAACAGAAAAGTAATAGAGTATAATATCAATGCGGTTATACCTCAGTGATAAGACCCTTTTCAAACTCAATCCAGGCAGTTGGATGCTTGCATTCTAGCAATTCCTTCATTGGCATTCTGAATAAAAAATCTCAATTTGAAACAGGAGAAAATGAGTTAGAAGCTAAAAATTAGAAGGAAAAAAGAGAGAGAAAAAAAATAGGCGAAGGGATCATTTTGATATTGGGTGCTAACTGTTAGAACTAGTATGTCTTAAAAAATGTGCATTTTTTAACGGGAAAAAAAAAGAGGAAAAATATTAATTTGGGACTAATTCACGCGCCTAAGGAAAAATAAGGAAATAATATTTTTGTCATGTCAGCTTTTGTGTTTAAAAGGTACACTAATAATTAAGTTGGAATGATCGATAAATACTAGCCTTAATTGAGGTATCAAAATGAAAACTTTAACCAAGTTTAAGGGATTGTTAGTAGGCTTTAGGACATAAGAATTGTGAAATTTCGGGAAAAAATAAAAAAAAAAATCAAGTGAAAATAATATTTAAAAGTTAAAGTTGTGTTTGGACATGAATACAATTTGGAGCTGTTATTGAATTTTTGTGAATGATTTGAAGTGAAAATTTTGAAAACTAATTTTTAGGAGTTTTTAAAATTTTCGAAAAAAATCTGAAATTCAACTTTTAGTAAAATTTAAAAAAATTCATGGATAAACACTAATTCCAAAAAAATGAAAACTTTCCCAAAAAAGAGTGATTTTTTTAATGGCCAAACGGGCCTTAGAAGAGCTAGTTGGGGGAGGGTACATATAGTAAATACCTGAAGAAGGCAGGGATATCATGGTAAAAAGGGTCACGAACAATAGTGTCCATAACATCAAAAAGCAATATGGGAAGCTTCCTTTGACCTGATACTGATACTGATGAAATGGCACTGCAACTAATGTTGTTACTGAAATAACCCATTTTTGCAGTTTTAGGACATGTTTTGACCATTAAAGGAAAGCTGCTAATGTTAGAAGCAGTTGGTCTCCAAGATACCAAAAAAGCCATTTCGAATTTGGATAATTTCCTTTTAAAAAATTGGATTCTTTTGTTTCTGCAAGATTAAAGTATTTTTTTAGGCTAAGGAGGAGTTCTATTTATATGGAAGAAAACATAACTATACAAGATTTAACAACATTAATCAATTAACAAAATATGGCATGGATGATGGAACCAGCTATCCAGCCATTTCCCATGCCTCAAAATTAGGAATCATCATGCATGCTACTTTTGAGGACTTGTTTAATTTGTTTTTTTATTTTCTAAAAGAACAAGTGGAGCAATGTTCATAATTCTATTTCAAATTAGGATAATATACACTTTGTTTTGACATGTTACGGATATGACACGTTTGTAACTACCTAAATAATCTTTCCTTGTTTGTTTTCTTGCTACCGTATATTTTCTTTGGTTTGGTACAATTTGTAAAATATGAAACTAATAAATCTAGAATATATGATTGTGACGACCCAAAGGGTCATCACCGTAATTCTTCCTAGTTCCGTGCTTCCGAGACCCTGAAAACCTCGCTTTTAGTTGCCTCGATTTGCCTGCGCAGTTCGGGCGCGTAGCCGGGAAGTTTTTATGTTAGAATATGCGAATTTTGTGGAAAAAAAAATTTGATGAATTTTGATATTAATATGCATAATATTGACTTCGGTCAACATTTTTGGGTAAACAGACCCGGACCTGTGATTCGACGGTCCCGTAGGGTCCGTAGAAAAATATGGGACTTGGGCGTGTGCCCGAAATTAAATTCCGAGGTCCCAAGCCCGAGAAATGAATTTTTGTGTGAAATTATTTTCTGAAATTAATTAAGGAAAATGAAGAAGAAAATTGATCAGAAAACTGTGGTATCGGGCTCGTATTTTGGTTCTGACGCCCGGTACGAGTCTTAAATATGTTTTAAGCACTATCTGTGAAATTTGGCTAAAAACGGATGTCATATGACGTGTTTCGGACTTAAGATGGGGAAATTGAGTTTTATGAAAGTTGAAGGAAAAATCAGGTGTTTTGAGGCTTGATCTTATGTATATGATGTTATTTTGGCGATTTGATCGCACGAGTAAGTCCGTAAGATGTTTTTAAGATTGTGTGCATGTTTGGTTTGGAGCCCCGAGGGCTCGAGTGAATTTTAAATGGGGCCCGGGAGGTCTTGGACTTAAGAAAATGCAGGTTCAGGTGTTGCAGACACCAGCGCGGC